CAAAAAATCAACAGTGAACCTTGACTCATCTGAAAACATCACATTGCTCCAGCGTCGATTATCCCAGTGTTGACGATCCCTACACCAACGACGTCTTGCCTGAATGTGATGATCTCTCAAACAAGGGATCACGCGAGGACGTCGGGCGCGAAGGTGACCCCTATGCAGTCGATTCCGAATCGTCTGGCCACTCACTCTCACACCAGTGTCTGTTTGAAGACGAGCGCTGATCTGATTTGCTGTGATGACACGATTTCTCAAGGCCAAGGTACGGATAAATCGATCCTGGGCTTGAGTTGTCGCCCTTGGTCGACCTGAGCGTGGTCTGTCCTGTACAGATTGTGTATCACGGTATCTGGACCATAGCCTGCTTATGACAGACTGAGAAACATTCATCGTCCGCGCCACAACCGCCTGTGTTGTGCCGATCTGTAGCATGCCAAGGGCACGTAACCTTTCATTTTTGGTAAGCCGACGCATATCAAAATTTGTTTTCTGGTCACTAAAACAATTAAACTGATGTTTCCACCCTGGAATTCAATGCCACAATGACTGTAACATTCAAAGTCAGAGTCGTGCAAATCTTGGGTTGGACCCCCATGATGATCCCAAGCATCACATGCATTCCATGCGGTAGCTATTGGTGCGTTTGGGCGTCACATGTAACTGGAAATGTTTCTTCTGTTAGGTTCTATAGTGACTTTTTTCGTAGTCATTTGCATATTTTAGTATTATGCCCCCAAAATCAAATATCCCCTACTTTTTTTGAATAGTATATAATATTATTTCCTATATTCAATTGATTTAATGCATGCCCAAAATACAAGTAAGCATGAAAATTTACCCTCTCACTCATTTTGTCCAATTGTTATAAAAATCCAAAAAGGTAAAACACAAATTCGGATATGACAGCAGACAAAAGACAGCAGAGATTATGTAGGTGGAGTTAACGCCTGTCAATCAAATGATCGGACATACTAAGAATCGGTGAAGATGGAATTCAATCCGATTTCTAGTCAAAAATTACATTGGTGATAACTATGTTCAGAATAAAGTAATTTGACTGAAATTTTCAATATATTCTTCTATCATCATCTATTTTTGAACTGTTATAGAAAGAATGGCTAACTCCTTATAAAAATCTCCCATAATGTATCTTTAAGTAATTATGGATGAGTACACAAAATATGGAGTTTGTAGATCGAACCGGAAGTGCCACCATCTTGAAACGTGAAAAAAATGTTCCAAGCAGAATTTTGATTTAAGTCAACTGATGGTCACCATTTTGAATTGAAGATGGAAAACGGCGAAAAGGGTACATTAACAGGCTTGTAAATAAACACAATAGGCTGTAGTTTGTTCAATTTGTCTAGTATTTCTTAAATTAATACATTTCTGGATTGCCTGGCTCATGGTCGAATTTTTGGTGTTTCAATATTTCAAAATTCGCCTTTGACGGCTTTCGTACCAACAAAGCTGTTTATGACTGAAAAATTCCCATTAACAGCTTGAAAATAATCAAAATTTGAATATTACGTCACTGACATCCCGTCTCGGAAGTAAAACGAACATGACAACAGATCTAACATTTTCATTATTACCAGAAGTAATGTCATTTTGGCAAAAGCTGTATTTTTAGCCTTCAAAACAAATATTTTGTTGTAATGAGTTATCTTTATTATTCAATTAATATTATGATATTTGATTTCAATGGGCATATAGATTGGATCAATACGATCATATATATTTCCAAAAATTGCTTCTAGCATCTTCCCTTGTCGAGAAATAATCAATTTTGTCAGGTTCACTTTTAACGATTTTTTGCACATTTTAATTTCTCATTAGAAAGTCAGCTAACTTAGCGGTAAGTTCGTAACAAATTTTGTCAGGATCATTTTTTTTACATGTAACACATAACAAATGTATGAATGGTATTAATATTGCTGGATTTGGTTGAGTCTGTAACTATTTTACAACACATGTGCAATGCTTATGTGGAAATCTGTTGAACGGTTTCATTGGTACCGGAAGTGACATAAGTTGAAGGGTAACCTGGCACCGGAGGTGACATAAGTTGAAGGGTAACCTAGCTTGCACCGGTGAAACCCGTCATTACTGCATCGCAGTTCTAGTTATTATTAGGGTTTCACACTGCGAAGCTTGTGTGAAACACTATTGTTTTTGTTAAGATTATTCTTATTATTATTATTATTATTTTTTTTCCAATTTGATTGTATCTCAGAAACTACATGTCGGATCGATACGATTTCTTCGGTTTTATTGGGAAAGTGGGTGTGACTTAGAGATTAAAGCTATTTTGGGCATTCTGTGACAATGCGAAATTTCGAAAATTTAAAATTTTACAAAAAACTTTTTTATTTATAAATATTTTTATATGGCATTTTAACCAGGGTTGAAGAGTTATCCGATTTGACTAAAAATGTCAACATTTTTTGTGTCCGTAATTTTCCTTGGCCGCCATTGGCTAATATAGTTTTTCAGTCCTAGATTAATTATTTATTATTCGATTTGTACAAAAGAAAGTTCATATGCTGCGTGGTCCAAAATGTCATTTTTTTTGTTACCGCTAAAGATTTGTGTCGGCACTGGAAGTGAAGTAAAATCAGCAAAAACTACAATTTTGACAGATTTTGACAGTTCGGTACAACTTTTTGAAAGCAAATATTATTTCTCAAAATTTGATATTACCAAAAGTATACGCCATGCAAAGGCGCACAAATCATCGGACTCAGTTTTTTTAATTTCGATTTCGGGCTATTTCGATTAAAAGGTGAAAAAAGGTGTAAAATTAAGATACTTACAACCCATCCACCATCTTCATATTTTAAAATATTTCATCGTAACTTTCATAACCTTGTAGCAATAACCCATACAAAGAGAATGTATGTCAAAATTAGTTTGTAATATCAGCAGTTGTCGAGAAATAGGCAATTTTGCATGAGTCACATTTCGTGCTATTTTGCCGGTACAAGAATCAATTATTACCTGTATTCAATTTTCAATTTTCTTTCACCATTTGATGCCGAATGCCACGTTTGACTAGATTAAACCATTTTAACACCTTTACTGTCACCTGAAGTGACGTCATTTGGGCAAAAACTGAATTTTAGCCTTCAAAACCGATATTTTTTTCAAATGAGTCATATATGTTATTTGTTTAAAAGTATGATATTTAATTTCAATCAACAAATGGACTGAACCCATACGACCATATAGATACCACAAAATGGGTTCTAACTTGTAAGGTTTCAGAGAAATAGACGATTTTCTACCAGTCACTTTTCACGGCTTTTGGTCTATAACAGTGTTAAATATTATTCGATTTTTATAAAATTTTCACCATGTGATGCCTTATGCCATTTCAGATTTCATAAAACTAATTTAACATTTTCATTATCACCGGAAGTAATGTCATTTTAGCAAAAACTGTATTTTAGTATTCGTTTACCATTATGATATTTCATTCCAATGATAATATAGATTGGATCAATACGATCATAAATATGTCAAAAAATAGCTTCTAGCATCTTCTCTTGCAAAGAAATAACCAATTTCGTCAGGATCAATTTTTAAGACTTTTTCGCATTTTTATTACAGTTTATGGGTTCTAAATTAATTATTTATTGCCTGATTTGTATAAAACAAAAGCTCATATACTCATTGGTGCAAATTCTCAATTTGTTTCTACCTATAAAGTTTTCTGTCGGCACCGGAAGTGACGTAATTTTGCCTAAAATTTAAATTTTGACGGGTCGGGAGGTCTTTTCCTAAGGAAAAATCTAAATTTCTACAAATCTTATCAATGAAGATGAATGCTCCTACTACAGGCATAAAATATGTCGGGCTTAGTTTTTTTGGGTTTTTTTATATCAGTTTTGTATTTGCGCCATTTGGATTTAAGGTTGAAAAAAGGAGTAAAAATCAGCTATTTACAACCCATTCATCGTCTTCATATTTTAAATTGTTTCTACGCAACTTTCATAATTTTGTAGCATTAATCCATACAAGGACAATGTATGTCAAAATTAGATTGTAATATGCGCAGTTGCAAAGAAATAGGCAATTTTGCATGCGTCACATTTCACGTTATTTTGCATGTAAAGGAGTCAATTATCGTTCGATTTTCAATTTTTGTTACCATGTGATGCCTCATGCCACCTTTGACTAGGTCAATCCAATTTAACATTTTCACTGTCACTGAAAATGATGACATTTGGGCAAAAACCCATACGACCATACAGATATCACAAAATGGTTTCTAATTTGTTCGGTTGCAGAGATATAGGTTTTGGTCTATAAAAGTGTCAATTATTAGTCGATTATCATAAAATTTTCACCATGTGAGGCCTTATGCCATTTATATTTTCATAGAATTAATGTAAAATTTTTATTATCACCGGAAGTAATGTAATTTTGGCAAAAACTGTATTATTAGCCTTCAAATTGTTTTGAAGTGAGTTATATTTATCATTCGTTTAACATTATGATATTTGATTCCAATGGACATATAGATTGGATCAATACGATCATATAGAGGTTCAAAAATTGCTTCTAGCATCTTCCCTTGTCGAGAAATTTCCCATTAAAAAGTCAGCGGTAAGTTAATAACAAATTTTCTAAGGATCACTTTTTTGACATATGTAACACATGGTAACAGATGTATAAATGAAATTAATATTGCTGGGTAAATGGCACCGGAAGTGACATAAGTTCAAGGGTAATGTGGCACCTGTGAAACCCATCATTACTGCATCGCAGCTAGTTATTATTACTATTACATTATTATATGCATTGCTACCCATTTCTGTCAATTTCTAGGTCCCAAATATTAGCAATTTAGCTCCTTTAAACCACAACACCAAATCATCCAACTCAACACAGGACAATCTGATCTTGTGAGAGCACACACTTCCGCTTCCACCGAAGGTGATATCGCAGACAAGTTCTAATTTTCATCTTTATTATCTTAGCACACTCACCTCTGTCCTGTGGGAGGAAACCGGAGTAAACCCACGAGGTTGAGAAGGCACCCCTATATCTCCAAACCACATATCCTCACACCAGGGATCGAAACCACAACCGCAAGCCAGAAGTGACCGGCCAGCTAGAGGTTGAAGCACGGCGCTCTAGACCACTAGGCCATCCCAAACATGAGTTTGACCCTTTTTATATCCGATCAAAACACATTCATTGGCCAAGTCCATTTCTTAAAGCGAGAATTTCATATTTTCTAAGAAAGTCAAAACATAATTATTTCTATGTCTTTTGCTCAATTTATAGGTTATCAACTCACTATTATACGATCATGGGCATTATTTCCCACCCTTAAAAATCATTGACACAGGAAATAATAACACAATTACCTCCCTTGTTTTCTTATTACCTCCATGGAATAGCTATGTTCAAATGTTTGAATTTGAAGTTGAAAATGATATTTTTGCCAATTTCTCAGCTGGCAATAGTGAATTATAGGATTAATAGGATTATTCTTTAACAAGGTAGGACTGTTTATGGATACCATCTATTTTAAGGCTTTATTTTAATAAATTTTAAAAATATATCAATTATAACTTAAAACTAGAACTGCGATGCAGTAATGACGGGTTTCACCGGTGCCACTTTACCCTAAACATGTTACTTCCCGTACCAATGAAACCATTAAACAGGTTTCCACATAAGCATTGCACACATCAAATAAAATGGACGCCGAATCAACAAAATCCAGCAATATCAATTCATTTTATACATTTGTTACATGTAAGTGTACTGTACTTCCGGTGATAATGAAAATGTTCAATTACTTTTATGAAATCAGAAATGACATAGGGCATCACATGGTGAAAATTGTATGTAAATCGAATAACAATTGCCACTTTTATAGACCAAAAACCTTGAAAAGTGACTTGTAGAAAATCGCCTATTTCTCTGCAACCGTACAAGTTAGAAACCATTTTCTGGTATCTGTATGATCGTATGGGTTCACTCTATTTGCTGATTGGAATCAAATATCATAATTTTAAAAACAATACAAATAAGACTCATTTGAAAAAAATATCTGTTTTGAAGGCTAAAAATACAGTTTTTGCCAAAATGACGTTACTTCCGGTGATAATGAAAATGTTAAATTAGTTCTATGAAATCATAAATGACACAAGATATCATATGGTGAAAATTTTATGAAAATCGAATAATGACTGACACTTTTATAGACCAAAAACCTTGAAAAGTGACTTAAGGAAAATCGCCCATTTCTCTGCAACCGTACAAGTTAGAAACCATTTTGTGGTATCTGTATGATCGTATGGGTTCAATCTATTTGATCAATAGAATCAAATATCATAATTTGAAAAAAATAACAAATACGAATCATTTGAATAAAATATTGTTTTTTGAAGGCTAAAATTTAAGTTTTGAGCAAATGACGTCATTTCCGGTGGCAGCGCAAGGGGTAAAATGGTTTGACATAGTCCACTATGGCATTAGGCATCCAATGGCGAAAGAAAATTGAAAATCGAATAATAATTGATTCTTTTACAGCCAAAATTACGTGAAAAGTGACTCATGCAAAATTGCCTATTTCTCGGCAACTGCTTATATTACAAACTAATTTTCACATACATTCTCTTCGTATGGATTATAGCTACAAGTTTATAAAAGTTACGTAAAAATATTTTAAAATCTGAAAAGCCTGAATGAGTTGTAAATAGGTCAATTTTACGCCTTTTTTCACCTCTTAATCCAATTTGCTAGAAAATGAAAAAGAAATTAAAAAAACTGCTTCCGACATTTTTTGCGCCTTTAAAGGACACACTCTTTGAGTCATATAATTTTTCAAAAAAATAATATTTGTTTTCAAAAAATGGTACCTAACTGTCAAAATTGTAGTTTTTGGTAAAATTATGCCACTTCCGGTGCCGACAGATAACACTTTTGGTAATAAAAAAAATGACAATTGAGACAACGAAGCATATGAACTTTGTTTTATACAAATCGAACAATAAAAAATTAAGCTAGGACTGAAAAACTGAATTAGCCAATGGAGGCCAAGGAAAATTACTGAGACAAAAAATTTTAACATTTTTGCGCAAGTCAGATGACTCTTTAATTCTGTGCACAACACGAGTAAAAAATATTCATCAATAAAAAAGTTTTTTGTAAAATTTTAAATTTCCGAAATTTGGCGCCTAATATCTTCGAATTTTTGCTGAAAATCAAAAATCGAAAGTAGCGCAGCTATGTGCCCTGTCTCAAGCTATGCCAAAATGTATCGAAAGTTAAAATCCCATGATTATTGTTAAAATTACCGCAATATTTGTAAAAACGATAACTTCGGTGATTTCGGACATTTCGCATTGTCGCAGAACGTTCAAAATAGCTTTATCCTCTAAGTCACACCCACTTTCCCAGTAAAACCGAAGAAATCGTAACGATGCGACAAGTAGTTGCTGAGATCTACTCAAAACAAAAGAAGAATAATAATAATAATAAGAATAATAATTTTAACAAAAACAATAGTGTTTCACACAAGCTTCGCAGTGTGAAACCCTAAATATGAAATTGTAGCTTTAAAACTGGCCCTGCAGTCCAAACAGTGTCAGTGAAACACAAACAAGAACAACAAGGGAGACTGGGCAATTTTACTACACCACTCATAATAAACCCTGATTTTGCTAATTATCTAAAATCTAAGAAATGGCGCCGTTTTTTGTGCCAGGTGAACTTCATAAAAACGACTACAGGCAATAGACATAATTAGTATAATACTAATACTAGGCCTACTAATAATAACTAATAATTAATGACTCGCTCGCAACTGTCTCAGTCATTGGTCTACAGAATAGGCTAGTCGGAGTCTCGTAATACTAATAGTCCTAATATAACCCATCACTGACATTAAAAAAATCGTTTGTTTACAGGTACCTACCGCCGAAGATCTTCCAAATTCTTAGTTCTATGCCTATTTAAAGCTAAACCATAGATAATAACGTATTATCTATGGCTAAACTTATTATTATTTGTAGTTTACTCTGTTGCGGTGGGCGCTATATTGACCACCTCTGTGTACGGAAAAGGGGCGGAGCTTATCATTGGCCCTCAGGGCATAAAAAGCATACCATTTACTTCGCCTTGACATGATCTCAATGAATGATTGCAGAATGTCGCTCTTCAGAGGCCACATGGTGCAGATTTTTATTGTCCCCCGCCTTTCGAAGAAAGCAGGAAGGAGCGTAAATGTGTGTGTGTGTGGGGGGGGGGGTGTACACCCCCCAGCGAAAAAAATAGTCGGTCGCGAAACAGATGCAGTCGGTCGCAAAATAAGTGCAGTCTATCTCAAAATAAGTGCTCACTGAATTAATACAAACAATGCCAAAATAGAAGGAAAAAACCCAAATTTTATGTAGTCCCTATTTGCGTGAATCCGTGCACCTAAATTGCATGTCACGCTACTCACCCAAAACCTTAGTATAAAATATCCTTGTCAACTTATTGAAAAAATGTTTTTTACCCTTATTCTGTGAGTTGGTCTAAGTAAAAAAATTCCACCAGGGAGAAAAATAGTCGGTCGCAAAATAAATGCAGTCGGTCGCAAAATAAGTGCAGTCGATCTCAAAATAAGTGCTCACTGAATTAATACAAACAATGCCAAAATAGAAGGAAAAATCCAAAATTTGATGTATTTGCGTGAACCCGTGCACCTAAATTGCATACATTACGCTACTCACCCAAAACTTTAGTATAAAATAATCTTGTCAACTTGTCATTGAAAAAATGTTTTTTACCCTTATTCTGTTGTGAATTGGTCTAAGTAAAAAAAATTCCCCCAGGGAGAAAAATAGTGGGTCTCATAATAAGTGCAGTCACTGCAGTCGGTCTCAAAATTATGCATCGGCGACTATGAATTAATCAGGTAAACAAATAATGCCAGAATAGAAGGGGAAAACCTCAAATACTTAATATATGCACCTAAATTTCTTGCGTCACATAGTCGGTCTCAAAATAAGTGCTCACTGCAGTCGGTCTCAGAATAAATGAATTAATGAGGTAAACAATGCCAAAATAGAAAGGACAAATTTTGTGTGAATGTGTGCACCTAAATTGCAACGGTATAGGATAAAATAACCTAGTTTGTTACGAAGACTTTGATAGCTTAAATTATATTATTGATTGTCATACAAATAACATTAGTCGAACAGTTGGTAAGAAGTTATCGGAAGCATAGTTTATTTCAGAAATAGGTAAAAAAATCTTTAAATTATGAAATGTTAAGGTGATTATTGAACTTAAGAATTTTTACTTATTGCATATTTAATCCCAGTAGAAATTAAAACGTATTTTACTCATGTTGTAAGTATTTTCTGACCATCAGAATTCTGTAAAACCTTTCCCCAGATCCCAAAGTCCAGTAAATGACGTTTCAGAGACCAAGTAAGCGCCCCCCGTGAGACAAAGTACCCTCAGGCCCAGTCCCAACAAATTTAAAGCTCAGTTACATAATCTAAATCTTTTCGCGCCTACGGCGCTCAATTCTATTGTGTCATTATTCTTCAACTCCTCTGTCTTATACAATCTCATCACTATCATATTCAGTTACAGTGAATCGCCCAGTTAGTAGTACCACTAGTGAGTAGGACGACAGACTGTAGAATTGTTATTTCTACTCTCACAAAACATGCGAAATTTGATCCCATTTGTCATGACATTGACTATAATTTTTCAGGCACAGTCTCCAAAAATTAAAAGGTCAGTAACATATCTGAAATTTTTCTTGCGCCTGCGCCGCTAGATTCCATTATGCATAATTCTTTCACTCCTCAGTTGTCTTATACTGCCCCGGCACTGTCATATTCCCGGTTATAGTGAACTGCCCATCTAGTAGTACCGCTGGTGCGTGGGTCGTGCGGCGTCAGGTTGTACAAATGTTCTGACAACTCTTGCAAAACAGGCGGAATTGACAGGGGCAGATTTCGAGATTCTGTCCCATTGACTGCTATTTCTGGTTCTCTTGTTCACAAGAATTTGCTCCCACCAATGACCACTTGCAAATGCCAGGATTCAATTTTTCAAAATTTTCTCAGGTTGCTCAGTGTTATAGCCACTGCCTTTAAGGTTCAAATAAATTTAATTACAAAATCAATAACAATCATCATATTATATGACATATACTTTATGTCAACTTGAATAAAACTGCTTACCGACGAGAAAACGATCGGATAAAAGCTATAGGCAATACGATCTATGTTCTACCAGGACGCCCAGCACGTGTTATAGCCAGTATTTGTAGATCCCTTGGCAGTTGGAATTCGATATAAGAGTAGGCCGTAGCGCCGCTGCCCGGGCAAAATTTCCCTCATAGCACACTGTATGGCGTATGTCCGTCTTCATTAGCCCAGGTTAAGAGCAGAACAGTGGGACGTTAAACCCCATTTCATTTCATTTCATTTTATTGACATTCGTTGTGGGGTGTGATTGTGGATGGCGCCCTAGATTTGGAACCGCCCCACCCCATT